GGAATTAAAAGTGTGTGCCACCATGCCTGGCGGGACACTACTTCTTAACATTTGAACTTTTTTTTTTTTTTGGTAGTGCTGGAGATCAAACCAGGGGTCTCAAACATGCTAGGCAAGCATGTTACTACCGAGCTGCTCAGCTCCAGCCAAGCAATTTTACTTTGCACTATTCTATCAGAAGATTTAAGCCATGTGTGGTGGCTCATGATCATGGGAGGCTGAAGGAGGAGGATTGCTATGAGTTCCAGACCAGCCTGGGCTGCTAAGTGAAGCACTGTATCAAAAAACAAAAACAAAACAAAACAAAAACCATGAAGATCCAAAATGCAAATGTTGCAGCTTACCTCTTTCCTCAGTGGGCTGGGATCTTGAGGCTCTAAGGCAGGGAATATGACAGAATTCAGGAAGTCTCTGAATTTGGACCTAAAATAATACACATTTATTTTCATTAACCTCTAACAGAGTCACTATTTCCTTCAATTAGGAACATGAGCCACAATAGTACCAGCATATGTGGTCAATAGACTTTGTCACCAACAGAAATCATGGACATTTCCATATCACATTATGCTCCCTACAACTATCTTGAGGCAGGTGGATCTCTGTGAGTTCAAGGACACTCTGGTCTACACAGCAAGTTCCAGGCCAGCTGGGATTTAAGGAAGACCCTGTCTCAAAAAGACCAAAAAATAAATAAATAAAAACAACTAAAAATTAAAAATAAAAATTATTACAGTAAGAAGACCTACAATTAAACATTATTTACGATACACGCCTGTGCTGGATAGCTTTAGTGTCAACTTGACACACCTGGGTTGAGGGAGCCTCAATCAGGGAATTGCCTCTATTGGACTGGCCTTGGCCAAGTCTGAAGGGCATCTTCTTGATGCGTGATGTGGGAGGGCCCAGCCCACTGTGGGTGGTGCCACCCCTGGGCAGGTGGGCCTGTGTTGCATAAGAAAGCAGGCTAAGCAGGGGCTGAGGGAGCAAGCCTGTAAGCAGCGTTCCTCCATGGGAGCAAGCCTGTAAGCAGCGTTCCTCCATGGCCTGTGCTCCAGCTCCTACCTCCAGGTTCCTGCCCTGAGTTCCTACTTTGGGCTCCCTGATGAACTGCATGTGACCTGGGAGATGTAAGACAAATAAACCCTTTCCTCCCCAAGTTGGTACTGGTCAGAGTGTTTTGTCACAGCAATGAAGAACAAACTAAGACACACGCCTTTGATCCCAGCACTCGGGAGGGAGAGGCAGGCGGATCTCTGTGAGTTCAAGGCCAGCCTGGTCTACACAGTGAGTTCCAAGACAGCTGGGGCTACAGGGAGACCCTGTCTCAAAAAGATCCCCCCCAAAAAAGGCACATATAGTATTATATCACACAGTTTAAATATTTTGATAACTATGTTGCAATATAATTGACTTCCTTTATAGTTCTGTGTATTTCAATTTTGCATACAAGAAAATTATTCTAAGCCTGGTGTGGTGGTACACATCTATAGTCTCAGCATATGGGAGGTAGAGATAGGAGGACCAAGAATACAAGATCATCCTCATCCTTGGCTATACATCAAGTCTGAGGCCAGCTGTATGAAACAGTATCAAAAAAACAACAAAGATCATCATTCTAAAAAAAAGGCTTCACAAGGTTTCATCATACTGCCAAAGGGATCATGACACAAGAAAGATTAAAACCCCTGTTCTGAGACCAAAAATTAAGCGAACATAACCATATCTAAGGTACACTTAAAAACCAAACCAACCAGGGCTGGAGAGATGGCTCAACTGTTAAGAACACTGGTTGTTCTTGCAGAAGACCCAGGTTTGAATCCCAGTACCCATATGGCAGCTAACAACTGTCTGTAACTCCAGTTCCAAGGGACCTGACAGCCTCTTCTGTCCTCTGTGGGCATTGCACAACATGGGTGCACTCACCTACATGCAGGCAATACACACATACACGTAAAATAAAAATAATAAATATTAAAAAAAAAAACAGAAAAACAATCTGCTCCTCTTTCTCTTAAGGGTCATACACTCATTATAGTTTCAAGTGTTGCGCAAAGACCATACATCACTATTTTTAGCAGCCTTCACATCCAAAGCAGTTTGCAAATAGTTGTGAGTGTACTATGCCAACCCTGTAATCTATGGGTTTCTCTTGCTCACTGGCAGTCATCCTTGTTGAAACACTGAAAGCCTCAAACTAATCTTACTTTCAACTTGTGGTTGCAACAGAATCAAGCCCCCTCCCCACAAAAAATTCGGGGGCAGGAGCCTGCTATATGTCTAACTACAAATTGGCTTGCAAAGGAAATCTAAAATAAATGAAAGAAAGAATCCTTCCCATAATCACAGAGTGAATCAATATTAACAGCAGATAAGTAATCTGGGACCTTAGAATCTGAGGCTCTATATAACTAGACTGTTCTCTTTACCAGGGCTAGAGAAACAGCTCAGCAGTTAAGAGCACTGGATCCAGATTCAGTTCCCAGCACCCACATGGCAGCTAACAACTGCCCATAACTCCAATTCCAGGGGGATCCAACACCTTCTTCTGACCTCTGCGAGCATTGCATGACACAGCTGCACTTACACACATGCAGGCAATATACTCATACACTAAAATAAAAATAAATAAAATATTAAAAAAGAGGTCCCCACCAGGCATGGTGGCGCACATCATTAATCCCAGCACTTGGGAGGCAGAAGCAGGCAGATCTCTGTGAGTTCTACATAGTGAGTTCCAGGACAGCTGGGGCTACAGGGAGACCCTGTCTCAAAAAGACCCCCCCAAAAAAAGAGGTTCCCAAGATAAATAAAACCTTTCCTATTTATACAAGGAAAAATCACAACTGAGGAGGAAACAAAGCTGTCAACCAAGTCATCATGCTGGTTTTCCTTTAGGCTGGCCTCAAACTCCACCTCTCAAATTCTGGGATTATACACCTGTACCATCACACCTAGTCATACTAATTTGTTTCGAAAGGAACATGTAAACCTTAGTTTAAAATAATCAGAAGAAAGTCAGGCATGGTGGCACACACCTTTAGTCCCAGCACTTGGGGGGCAGAGGCAGGATCTCTGTGAGTTCTTGGCTAGCCTGGTCTACATAGTGAGTTCCACACCAGCTGGGGCTAAAGAGAGACCCTGTCTCAAAGAGAAGAAATAAAAATAACAACAAAAGGAATCAGCACCCTAAAGGAGTATAGAAGTTCCCAGCCTAGGTGTCTCCTCGTCTGTCATCTGTTATCTTGAAGCAGTTTCTGTTCTGGAAAAATTCTAGTTCCTTCTAATTATGTGGAATATATCAAGGACACATCCATTAGTCTATAAAAAGTCTATTATACAACTAATCATTCTTTAGCCAAATACAGACTATCCCCACTACTCACAACTAACACCCATTTAAGAACCTTTGTGACTCCCTATCACAAAGTGTACAGAAAGTAAGGATGACTATTAGGTAATCAGATTAATACAGTGTCTGGTTAAAGTGTAACCCAGGCTGTTCTAGAATTCACCATCCTCCTGACTCAGCTTCCCAAGTGACATAATTCTAGGAATTTGAAAGTATTCTAGGAATTTGAAAGTAGCTTTCAAATCTCTGTTAGATTTTTTGGTAAAGCACTAAGTGGCACAATCCAGAGAACTTTCTACAAAAGGCTGTAAAAGGGGAGAACTTAGAGGTGGGCATAATGGCACACCCTTTAATCCCAGCATTTAGGATGCTAAGGCAGGAGGACAGCTAAGAATTTGAAGCTAGCCTGTGCTACAAGTAAATTCCAGGCCAGCCAGGGCTACAGAGAAGAGATCCTATCTCAAAAGAAATGTGTGTGGAGGTTAAGAGGACAACTTTGTCAAGTTGGTTCTCTCCTTCCACCTTTTGGAGGGTTCTGAGATTCAAACTCACACTTCCAGGCTGGTACCAGGAGAACGTGCCTTTACCTGCCAAGCCATGTTCCTGGCCCCAAATCATATTCTTTTTTTTATTATTATTTTTATTTTATGTGTATGAGTGTTATGCCTGCATGTTAGTGCACCCATGTCGTGCAATGACTGCGGAGAACAGAAGAGGCTGTGGGATCCCCTGGAACTGGAGTTAAGGACAGCTGTTAGCTGCCATGTAGGTGCTGGTATTCAAACCCGGGTCTTCTGCAAGAACAGTGTTCTTAGCCGCTAAGCCATCTCTCTAGCCCCCCCAAATCATATTCTTAATATTTTTCTTCTTTTTTTTTTTTTTTGTCTTTTTGAGACAGGGTCTCCCTGTAGCCCCAGCTGTTCTGGAACTCTCTATGTAGATCAGGCTGGCCTTGAACTCACAGAGATCCACCTGCCTCTGCCTCCTGAGTGCTGGGACTACAGGTGTGCGCCACCATGCCTGGCTCAATGTTTTTTTTAATATTTTATTACTTTTATTTTATGTGTATGCATGTATTGCCTGCATGTAGGTAAGTGCGCCCATGTCATGCAATACTGGCGGAAGACAGAAGAGACTGTCGGATCCCCTGGAACTGGAGTTACGGACAGTTGTTAGCTGCCATGTTGGTGCTGGGATTCGAACCCAGGTCTTCTGCAAGAACAGTGTTCTTAACCATTGCACTATCTCTCCAGACCCCATATTCTTAATATTTTTCAAGACAACGTCTTACGTAGCCCAGGCTGACCTTGAATATACATGCACTCATCATCTCCCTGCCTCTCTGCCTTTCCAGTACTGGGATTAGATGTGTGCCAGCATGCCCAGTTCCAGTATCTTTTTCTTAGCAATTCCCTTTACTTGCAGAATCTCTAAATAACAAGGCTGGCTAGGATCTAAAGGTCATATCTCCCTACCTCTATTTTATTCTTAGCTGAATGTTTTCTGTTTTCAGTTCCCTTCCCAAGCCTTGTTCCTACCCTCAAAGTTTCTCCTTCCTCATGTCTATTTCTAGCAGTTTCTCCTACCACAAACTCTTAAATCCTTATTGCCTCTATAAATGTCATGCTCCTCATTTTAATATAACTTCTAGCTCTCCTAATAAAGACCCTGAGCTTTAGTCCCCTGTCATAACCAGTCACCTCAATTATGTTTGGGAAACCTTTTCCACTTAAGCCAATCTTACATCCTGTGGCCAACACTGATCCCAGTTCCTAACTGCATCTACACTTCCAAACTACCTTAATCATGAAAGTATTACAGAAAGAAAAACAAAAATAATCTGATCCACTGCTTCTCAAACTTTTTGTTTTGTTTTGAGACAATGTCTCAATATGTAGCCCAGGCTCACCTTGAGCTGGTCCTGTAGCCCAGACTGGATTCCAATTCAAATTCTTCTTTCCTCAGACTCCTGAGTGCTGGGATTATACTTGTGTTTCACCACATTCAACTTTTAAACTTTAGCTACATTTTACTTCATACATTTTTCAAAGATCTAGTTTTATTATTTTTAATTATGGGGGCAGGGTGCAAGTGGCCACGGAGGCCAGAGACATTGGATCCCTCTGGAGTTGGAGTTATGGGCAGTTATGAACTGCCCAACACAGGTGCTGGAAACTGAACTCTGGTTCTTTGCAATAGCAGTTATGCACTCTTAACCTCTGAGCCAACTCTCTAGTCCCTACTTCATACATTTTAAGATATACAAAATTCAGGACTGGACAGATGGCTCAGCAGTTAAGAGCACTGGCTGCTCTTGCAGAGGATCCAGGTTCGATTCCCAGGACCCACTTGGGGGCTTCAGAATTGATGCCCTCTTCTGACCTCTGTGGGCATTGCATGGCATGGATACACTTACATACATTCAAGCAATACACTCATACACATAAAATAATAAATTTTTTAAAAAGATGCACATCTTTTATGTCATAATTGCAAACACACAACTGGTACGCATTTCATGAAACGATATCCTTACTATGAGAACAGAGTGAAAATTTCTATTTTAGTCTGATTGGGTTGGTTTGTTTGCTATTTTATATCTAGGTGCCATCCACTGAACTGACTTCCCAACTTGACAGTACACTGGGACTCAGAGTTTCCTGGAGATATTAATCTAGTCCAAACTTCCCATTCACTGATGAAGAAACAAATCGGGTGGTAAGTTTCCCATCCACTAAATCTGTCCGTAAAATTCAAACTCAAGTCTGGTAAGTCCCAGACCTCTGCCCAGTCACTCACACTTGTACCCAAGCCCAACCTCAGAGTACAACCCCAATCGCTGATCTCAGTTCTTCTCAAAGTCACTGCTTGGTGGTGAGCGCGCCCTCGTCACGGCTGCTTCACGTTCCCTTCGGTCAGTCCGCTCAGTCACTATCCATGGACCGGTCTCCTTGGAGCCATTGCCCTGTGGCAGTCCCTGGCGGTCAGTGCCACATACTTACTCGGTCATAGTCCCGCCGCAGCCTCTGCCTCGTGCTCTTCGAGGTCAGAGTCCTTCGCACTTACTGCTCAGGGGCGCAGACCGCGACAAGCAGCCACACTTGGGTCACAGTCCCCAGGCTGTCACTGTACCTCGGTCACAGTGGCCTTGCAGCCCCAGTCCACTTCCCTCGCTGTCATGACCCACTCCAGTCACAGTCTCCTGACGGTCCCAGCCTCAGTATTTCTCCTCTCAAAACACAGCCGCAAGCACACACGACCCCGGGGTTCCTCACCGGCAGCTCCCGCTCCCCAGGCTCCCGTCTCGTCCCAGTCCTTCCCGGCGCCGCGTCACCCACTAGTGAAGTCGAATAGGTTGCGGGGAGACGCCCGGGAAACATTTGACCGAACTGCGAGCCGGAAGTCCCGCCTACCGCCCGCCCTCTTGTCAATCCGACCGCGACTTCTCCCAGAAAACCACTACCCCTGGCATAGTAGTTCCGCTTCCCCCGCGGCCCTGTGGCCGAAGTGACGGGGCAGAAACGCCAGCGGCGGACGGAGGGTCAGCGGCCGCCGGAACTGCAGGATGTGCTGACGCCGCCTCCCAGCTGGGGACGCTCGGTCGGCTCGCGGTGTCCGCCGGGAGCGCTGCCTGTCTACCCCCAACGCCCCTGCCTGCGACCCTCACCCTCTGCGTCCCCGCAGTAGAAATCAAACCCGCAAGCCAAGTCCGGTGAAAACCCATGTCCGATCGCACCCTTTTTCTGTTTTGATGTAGGTCGGTGCACCCAAAAGTGAGCCCTAGGAACCGACCAGGAAAGTAACCAGTTGCTCAGGAATAGATTCGAGGACACTAGTGGGCAACGCACGGATCAGGGTGTATGGACCGTACTTGCTAGAAAAAAACCTGGTGGGGGGGGGTGTCTTGTTATATTTAGACATGGTCTTACACTATTGCCCAGGCTGGCCTCGAACTTACTATGTAGCCCATGCTGGCCTCGAACTTGCAACAGTCCTCCAAAATGCAGGCATCAGCCACCATACCCAGTGTGATTTTATAGATGTAAGGCAAGTGGATACACAAAACTACAGAAGATTTAATCAGATTTTTAATTTTTTTAATATTTTATTTTTATTTTTTATGTGTATGAGTGTTATGCCTGCATTTAAGTAAGTGGACCCGTGTCGTGCAATGCCTGTGGAGGACAGAAGAGGCTGTTGGATCCCCTGGAACTGAAGTTAGGGACAGTTGTTAGCTGCCATGTGGGTGCTGGGATTCGAACCTGGGTCTTCTGCAAGAACAGTGAGTGTTCTCAAGCGCTAAGCCATCTCTCCAGCACCCTTACAGAAGATTTAAAAGAACTTTCCAATGTATTTTTTTCTTTTGGGGGAGGCGGGGTCTGCATGTTTTATTTTAAAGTGGCTAAGAGGGTGGGTAAACTTATGCATCTACTGAGGCGCTTTCATGGAGAAAAATGATTAAATATCTAAGGCCTCCCCTCCTTTTAGGTTTTGAATAGGTATTTGAACATGGCTGATTAAATGCCCCCAAAAAGAACAGCTAGCTGGACAAGACACCAGAGCCCCCAAAAGGAAAATGCTTACAAAGATAGTAGTAATTTAGATGGTACTGACACAGAAATCTCAGAATCTTAACTGGATTCTAATATCATAACATAGCTTGAAGCTTTCAGGACCTTGACACTGGTCAAACCCTGAAGTAGTGATTGTATTTTAAGCAAATGAGCTGTGTAAGCCATAGGATGACCATAGCTGGGCAAAAACAACAGGCAAGCCAGGTGTAGTGGCACTTTTAATCCCAGCGCTCAGGAGGCAGGAGGATCTCTATGAGTTCAAGGCTAACCTGGTCTACACAGAGAATTCCAGGCAAGGATACTTAGTGAAACCGTGTCTCAAAACTAACAACAACAACAAAAACGGCCGGGCATGGTGGAGCACACCTGTAATCCCAGCACTTGGGAGGCAGAGGCAGGAGGAGCTCTGTGAGTTCAAGGCCAGCTGGTCTACATAGTGAGTTCCAAGCCAGCTGGGGCTACAGGGAGACCCTGTCTCAAAAAGATCAAAAAACAAAACAAAACAAACAAAAAACAGCTACGAGATAAAAGCAACAATTCAAAAAACAAAAGTTTATGCACACATAAATTCACCTCTGTTTTTGTAATGATGCAAAATTTGATATTAGCCCTTCAGTAAGGGAATATGGTATAACCTAATGGCGTAAACACAGCTATTAGAAAATGAGTAACAAACTTCATGACAGCATGAGTGAAAAAATACAGAACACATTGCATCTGAAATTTTTTTGACATGCTGCAAAAAAGGGGTAGAACACTTAGTTGATTATTTGAAAATTTGAAATGAGTTTTCCCCTTTTTCTCTGCTTTTCAAATGTAGTAAGAGCATAGCATAATAAAATCAAACCATTAAACATATAAAACCTAAAATACAACAGATTTTAAGTGCCAAAGTGCCAATTGATTTTTATTTTGTCAGGATACTTAACAGTATTAAAGAGTTTGTATTTCTTCATGGTCCTATCAGCTTTGTCAAAGATTCAATAGTAGAAACAGCCAAATGCAGCTACAACACAGAATAAACTGTCCTAAAAAAAAAAAAAAAAAAAAAAAAAAAAGAGAGAAATCCAAAATGTTAGTACTCAGAAGGACTAGGGCATACAGACAATTGAAATTAATATTATACTGGATCTTTATCAATTTTTTTCTCCTCCTTTTTTGAATAGGGTCTCACCAGGTAGCCCATGATGGCCTCAAACTTGTGATCCTTCGTCCCCAGCCTAAATACAAATTACGTGTGTGGGTCAACACACTCAGCTCTTTATAGGTTTTAAATCATGACTTTTTCCTTCAGGAAACAAAAGGTTTCCAGACATCCAAGGAATAGCTATAAAATGGCTCACCTGCCTACAAGATTGCAATCTAAGGCCAATCTGTGAGTGTGTGTGTGTGTGTGTGTGTGTGTGTGTGTGTGTGTGTGTGTATGTGTGTGTGTGTGTCTCCTCTTGATCGCAGACGCAGTGTGACCAGGTATCTCGTGCTTCACCCACCATGACAGACTGCAATCTCAAATGATGATCAAAAATAAACCCTTCCTCTTTGCTTTTAAAAAAAAAAAAAAAGGCATGAGGGGTGGGGTGGTTGGATGCTGCTGAAGAGATGAAAGGGTTACTCTCTTTTTTTTGAAACAGGGTCTCCTTATAGCCCCAGCTGGCCTGGAACTCACTATGTAGACCAGGCTGGCCTTGAATTCACAAAGATCCACGTGCCTCTGCCTCCCAAGGGCTGAGACTAGAGGCATGCACCACCACACCAGGAACACTGGCTACTCTTGTAGAGGACCTGGGTTTGGTTCTCAGCTGCCACATGGCAGCTAACAACCGTTAACTCCAGTTAGATCTAGGAGATCTGATGCCCTCTTATGGCCTCATTAGGCACTGCATGCACATATGCAGCAAAACACTCATACAATAAAAATAAATAATCTTGTTTTTTATTTAATGTGTATTAGTGTATTGCATGCATGCATGTAAATGCAACCTTATCATGCAAAACCTGCAGAGGTCAGAAGGTGTTAGATCCCCTGAAACTGGAGTTATGGATAGTTGTTTGTCAATAAGTCTTGTTTTTAAACATGGCTTGCTAAAATGGTACTTTGAAGGGTAAAAGAGGGTAGTTGGGAGGGTGGAGAAAATCAAAGCAGCAGATCTGTATGTATGGAAATGTCACAGTGAGGCTCATTAATATGTACAATCAGTATGCACTAATAATTATAATTGAGGCAGGAGTATGGAGAGTTGGAGGCCAGCTTCCTCCAACTAGCAGAACTCTGCCTCAAAAGCAAAAAAGAAAAACAAGTAGGTTTAAAAAAGAAAGGTAGAGGCTGGAGAGATGGCTCAGCAGTTAAGAACACTGGCCGTTCTTACAGAAGACTCGGGTTGGAATTCCAGCACCCATATGGCAGCTAACAACTGTCTGTAACTCTAGTTCCAGGGGATCCAACAGCCTCTTCTGTCCTCCACGGGCATTGCATGACACGGGTGCACTTACCTACATGTAGGCAATATATGCATACACATAAAATAAAAATAATAAATATTTTTTTTAAAAAGTAAAAAATAAGCCAGGTATGGTGGCACATACCTGTAGTCCCAGCACTTGGGAGGCAGAGGCAGGGGGATCTCTGAGTTCAAGGCCTACCAGGTCTACACAGTGAGTTCCAGGCCAGCTGGGGCTACAGGGAGACCCTGTCTCAAAAAGACAAAATAATAATAATAAATAAATAAATATTAAAAAATAAAAAGAGAAGGGTAGAGGCCGGGCATAGTGGCACACACCTTTAGTCCCAGCACTCAGAAGGCAGAGGCAGGTAGATCTCTGAGTTTAAGGCAAGCCTGGTCTACATAGTAAGTTCCAGGCCAGGTGGGGTACAGGAAGACCCTGTCTCAAAAAAAAAAACAAAACACCAAAATACAGAAGTCAGAGACAAATGTTGAAACTAAAGTGTCCTCACATCTTAATAGTAAGTAATTTGATGCATGATACCCACATGTCCCCAGACAGGAAAAAGGGTTTCCAAAAAGACTTACATTCATGAAAACATCGTGAGTGTAGTTGTCAGTGTCTGCATCCCAGAAACACCGAGCAGCCATGCTAAAAAGACAAGAATGAAGAATGATCAGCAATGCAACCAAGATCTGAACTTGGAACTTCCATGAGACTAAGTTTCCTTTCATATATTCTTATAGATCCATGCTCCCAAACCTTGTCACAGGTTGGCACATGGAGAGAATCATAGACTCATAAAACAAAGTATTCTGGGTAACCTAGAAGGACAGGAATGGTAGGTGAGGTTCCTTGCAGCTAGAGGTGACAAGCCAAGGGGCTCTAGTGGTCTCAGACCCCCAGCTGGATGCCTGACAGCTACCAGGTATAATATTTCAAAGTTTAGATTATGTCATCTAGGGCATCTGTGTGGCTGGCAGTGGGCTCAGTTCCCGCAATAATAAGAAAAAGAAGGGTCAGCCGGGCATGGTGGTGTACGCCTTTAATCCTAACACTTGGGAGGCAGAGGCAGGTGGATCTCTGTGAGTTCAAGGCCAGCCTGGTCTACATAGTGAGTTCCAGGACAGCTGGGGCTACAGGGAGACCCTGTCTCAAAAAGACAAAAAGAAATAAATAAAAAGGTCTTGCAAAGGGCCCAAAGTTATAGAGACCTATAAAATGGGCAACTATGAACTAGAATTCAGTCTTCTAATTATCAGCATTACCTCCACAGTGTGATACGTGTCCTCTAAATTTCCAAATTGGCCATTCTACTCTCCCCAATTCTTCGATTAAAAAAAAGTTAGTCAAAATAAAAGCCAATTTAAAAAATGGAGCCATATTTGGTGGCTCAAACCCGTAAAGCTAGCATTTGGGAGGCTGAGGCAGGAAGACTGCTACTTGAGAAGAGCCTGGGCTACAGAGTGATAACCTGTTTCAAAAAACAAAAAGTCAGGCACTTGGAAAATAAGGACAAGATCAAGAGTTCAATGCCAGCCAGGCATGGCGGCAAACACCTTTAATCCCAGCACTCGAGAGGCAGAGGCAGGCGGATCTCTGTGAGTTCACTGCCAGTCTGGTCTACATACTGAGTTCCAGGCCAGCTGGGGCCACAAGAAGACCCTGTCTCAAAAAGACACCCCCCCTAAAAAAATGTCAATGTTATCCTTAGCTACATAGTGAGTTTGAAGTCAGCCTGGACTACAGTTGCAACTCTATTTGAAAAACAAAAAGTATATACTGTTGTATTCACAGATGAAATGGGATGATGACTAGAATTTCAAAATACTTGGTAGTGAGTTGAGGGTGGTAGTATACACCTTTAGTCCCAAAACTCCAGAGGCAAAAGCAGGCAGATCTCCTGGTCTACATAGTAAGTTCCAGGCCAGCCAAGTAGAACGTACTCTCCCAGCTACACCTGCATTCTCAGGAAGCCCATTGTTTCTGCAATTCTGAAAAACTTGTTTTTCCTAACAGAAACTTAGAAACTTTTGTTAACTGAAAACTTCTTTGTTAAACTGACCTGCCCCTGCTCTGGTATAAGTATAGTAATCTGATGTAACTATGGTTGGCTTGATATAATTGTGGTTTTAGGCTTTATATACCCTGCTTTGCTTTTCCTAGGGATGGAGAATTCTTTTGGGCATTAGCTCCCTTTCAGCTGCCTATTTAAGGACTCTTAACCATCACTATGTAGCCATTTCTCTGTGCTTTTCACTCAATACGACAGTAAAGGCAAAGAGTAGGTCAGGGATCTAAGTACATCAGTATGTATTGATAACCAAAGCTAAATGAAAGAGTTCTTTAGTCCCTAAACTTTGGCATATATTGAAATTTTAGATAATACACTTTCAGAAGATGGGGGGGGAAGGCCCTTGTGTGATACACCTTTTACATTTTATTTATGTGCACAGGGGGAAGGCACATGTGTGCCACAGTGCATCGGTGAAGGTCAGAGGAAAACTAGTGAGAGTCAATTCTTTCCTTCCATCATGTGAATCCAGAGGACTGAATTCAGGTTGTCAGGCTTGGTGGCAGTGCCTTTATAAACCCCTAAGCTATCTTTCCAGCTTGGCCTAACCACATCTAACAAAGTTAATCCAAAACAGTATAATTTTCTCTTTTTTTAATATTTTTTATTTATTATTTTTATTTTTTATGTGTATGAGTGTTATGCCTGCATGTAGGTAAGTGCACCTGTGTCATGAAATACCTGTGGAAGACAGGAGAGACTGTCAGATCCCCTGGAATTGGAGTTACTGACAGTTGTTAGCTGCCAAGTGGATGCTAGGATTTGAACCCAGGTCTTCTGCAAGAACAGTCAGTGTTCTTAACCACTGAGCCATCTCTCCAGCCCCAAAACAGTATAATTTTCAAATAAGAAGCATTGTAGGGGGATGAGAGAGATGGCTCAGAGATAGCTGCTCTTAAGAAGACCTGGGTTCCAGCCTGGTCTACATAGCAAGTTCCAGGGAAGCTGGGGCTACAGAGAGAGACTCTGTCTCAGAAAAAAAAAAAAAAAAAGACAAGCTAAGAGCAAGAGCTAAGAAAGGGCATTTGGGGGCTGGAGAGATGGCTCAGCAGTTAAGAGCACTGGCTGCTTCTGCAGAGGACCTGGGTTCAGTTCCCAGCACCTTCATCGTGACTTAACTACATGGTAATTAACAACCGTCCTTAACTCCACTTTCAGGGGATCCGACACCCTCATGATTTCCACGGGCATTGCACATACGTGGTGCACTTACATACATGGAGGCAAAACAGTCCTACATATAAAATTAAAAAAAAAATTTTTTTAAGGGCAATTAGATTTGCTAATAAGGAAGTAGCAAATAATCTTAAAGAAATCAGAAGAGGGCTAGGGAGATAGCTCTGTTGGTTAAGTGCTTGCCAGAAAAACATGAGGACCTGAGTTTGATCACCACTATCCATGCCAAAAAGCTAGACATGGGGGCATGCACTTGTGATCCCAGAACTGGAGAGGCAAAGCAGGTGGGTCCCCGGGGCTTACTGGCCAGTCAGCCAAGCCTAATCATTGAGCCCTAAGCCAATGAGAAATCCTGTCTCAAAAACCAAGGTGAACACTATCTGAGCAATGACACCTGAGACTGACCTCTGGCCTCCACATCCATGCACACACTTATGTGCAGGCACACTCCCCATACAAAAACAAATTTGAAGGAGTTGTCAGGCATGGTGGAGTATACCTGTAATCTGAGCACTTGGGAGGTAGAGGCAAGAGGATGAGAGTTCAGATTCTTTAGTTATGTAGTGAGTATGATGCCAGCCTGGGCTACATAAGATCCTATCTCAAGACAAAGGAATAAAGAAAATTTAAGAGATTGACAAGACCAGCTGGGCATGGTGGTGCACACCTTTAGTCCCAACATTCAGGAGGCAGAGGCAGGTGGATCCCTGTGAGATTGAGGCCAGCCTGGTCTATATAGTGAGTTCCAAGCCAGCTGAAGTTTCAGAGACACTGTCTCAAAAAAGACCCGAAAGAGAGGAGAGAGAGAGAGAGAGAGAGAGAGAGAGAGAGAGAGAGAGAGAGAGAGAGAGAGACCGAGACCAAAAGCTAAAGCTAGGCAATAAAGACTATGGGAGGAAGCATGCACCCACACTGCATACAGAAACAGATGCCCGTAAACCCTAAAAGACATTAGCCTATAGATATTGTGGAGAAAGAGTTACTGTGGAACTCACCCAGACTGCTGACTTACTACTCAGTACCAGGACCTCCTCACAGCCACATTTTTTAACCTGTCCTTTCTTCTCACTCTTGCAAAGATACAGCCTCACTGAATTATCACTAAGATGAATTAGCTCCTAAAGAGCATAGAAAATAAAAAGAGGAAGGAAAACAACTACTCACAATACTCCTTCACCTCTTTGTTCTCCAATCACTACATGCACCACCATTTTATACCGGTCATATCCCAGTTCTAGAAAGGAAAAGATAAGAAAGTTATCTACTTTCAAATATGTAGTAAAATTACCCCTTGAACATAAATTCTTCCAGGATAGATATAAGCATTCATTCCACAAGCACTTGATGAGCACTATGGGAAACTTAGGAGTCAGAGGCCTGGAAATAAACCGTAACCATAAACAGTAAAACCATAAACAGCAGTAAAACTTTAGAGAACCTAACTTTTCCATTTAAATTTCTCTAGTCTGTTAAAAGGGAATGTTCTTACCTACCTGTCAGGTTGTTGTAAGATGAGACAAGATATAATAAAAAACCAAACTTGGCACAGAATGGTCTCAACAAACCTTAACCTCCTTTTATACTCTATTCTAAGTCAGGTACTGAGATTGGCTTTCAAGTTACAGAGATAAAGCACTCTTCTTGCCTTAAAGAATTCACAACAGTAAAGAACTCAAAGGTACACAAAAGTAACAAAAAGTACAAGTTAATAATTTCAGGAGTGGCATGTATAAGGTGTATCAGAGCTGGGAAGTTCTTACCTTTGTTTGCAGTATTGGGGCATAATCAGAAAAGATTTCATAGGGAATGTGATAGATAAATGAGCTGAGTCTTTTGGACAAGTGTGAATTTACCAAGTAAAGATAAACAATGTCTCTCCATTCTGTGGAGAGGGAATTTGGAATACAAAGCCATGAGAACAGGGCTAGCGAGATGGCTCAGAGGTTAAGAGCGGTTGCTATTCTTGCAGAGGACCAGAATTTAATTCTCAGCACCCACATCAGGCAGCTCACAACCACCTCTAACTGCAGCTCCAGAAGATCTGATGCCATCTTCCATGGACACAGACACAGACAGACAGACAGACAGACAGACAAACGCACACACACACACACACACACACACACACACACACACAAATTTAAAAAAATAAAGGCATGAGAATTTGGGATCTTCAGCTGTTTATTAAAGTAGAAAAAAAGACACTTTCAAAAAAACCTGGACCTGGTGGCACATGCCTATAACCCCAGCACTCAGGAAGAAAGAGGATGTAGGACTACAGAGTAAAGTGGACAAAGTGGACAAATACCCTCCAGGTGGAGCAGGAACAGACTTAGAAAATACAGCCCAAGTTGTTGTTGTATTGTTCATTTGTTTTAGGCATTATCTCACACTGTATCCCAGGCTGATCTCAAACTCTCAGTAATCCTCCTGCTCCAAGCACTGTAACCACAGGGGTGCACCCCCAACCTGCTCTCCAAATCTTTTTTTTTTTTTTTTTCAGAAACACTTCACATACAGCTGGGATTTCCCATTTCCCTACTGAAACCCAATGCTATAGAAATGTAACTAAAATACTAAACACCTAGCCCTGAAATCAAAGTTCTAAGGGGAAATAAAACATTCTGATATAGTGAAAAGACTTAAAAGACTGTATCAGAGCAATTAGGATATGCAGAAGAGCAAAATCAAAAGCAGCAACATGTTAAAATGTAATGATGCCTTTAGTCCCAGCACTTGGAAGGCAGTGGCAGGCAGATCTCTGTGAGTTCAAGGCCAGCCTGGTCTACATAGCAAATTCTAGGCCAACTGAGGCTACAGGGAGACCCTGTCTCAAAAAGACAAAAATAAATAAATAAAATGCGCTGGGCGTGGTGGTGCACACCTTTAATCCTAGCACTTGGAAGGCAGTGGCAGGCAGATCTCTGTGAGTTCAAGGCCAGCGTGGTCTGCATAATGAGTTCCAGGCCAGCTGAGGCTACAGGGAGATCCTGTTTCAAAAAGACCAAAAAAAAAAACCCCAGGCCTAGTAGCACACACCTGTAGTCTCAGCACTGGGGAGGCAGAGGCAGGTGTATCTCTGTGAGTTAAAGGCCAGTCTGCCAAGGTCGACCAAGTTCCGGGGGACTATGGAACATCTCTCAAAATGTCCTGTAAATGTGGTGAGTCACCTGTCCTCTTGTTCAGGGAGGTCATGGAGACCCCTCAAGATGGACTTGAACCAGTGTCCAGTCTACAAAGAGGAGGGTCAACTCAGAGGAAACATCTCATTCATGCTTCCAAGTGAAGCCAGACATGGTTGAACAGGACCTTTGACCTATCTTCACATAGATGGAACTGGTAAAAGAAAGGAGCCAGGAGCTCCTCCCAAGCCCATGTGACCCTTGAGGAACAGATCCTCAAATGA